GTATGATGTGTGGTGTGTTGTGTGTTGTGTGTTGTGTGTTGTGTGCTGCGTATTGTGTTTTGCGGTGTGCTGTGTGGTGTGTCTTGTGTGTTGTGTGATGTCTGGCTTGTGTTGCGTGTTGTGCGTTGTGCGTTGTGTGCTGTGTGCTTGCATTGTGTCATGTGCGTGTTGCGTTGCGTGTGCGTGTGTTGTGTGTGTTGTGGTTTGTGTTGCGTGTTGTATTGCGTGGAGTGTGTTCTGTGTTGTGTGTTGTGTGCTGTGTGGTGTGTGTGTTGTGTGGTATGTGCTGTGTGCTTGGCGCGTTGTGTGTTGTGTGCTGTGCGTTGTGTGTTGTGCGTTGCGTCTTATGTGTGTGTGTTGTGTGCTGTGTGTTGTGCGTAGTGTTGTGTGTACGCGTTGCGTGCAGTGTGCTGTGTGGTGTGTTGTGTTTTGTGCGTTGTGTGGTGTGTGTGTGTTGTGTGTTGTGTGTGTTGTCTGTTGTGTGTTGTGTGGTGCGTGTTGTGTGTTGTGTGTTGTGTGTTGTGCTGTTTGGTGTGTAATCTGTGTTGTGTGTTGCGAGTTGTGTGTTTCGTGTTGTGTGTTGTGTATTGTGCAGTGTGTGTTGTGTGTTGTGTGTTGTGTGTTGTGTGGTGTGTGGTGTGTGGTATGGATTGTGTGCGGTGTGTGTTGTGTGTTGTGTGTTGTGTGTTATGGCTTGTGATTTGTATTATGGTGTGTGGTGTGTGTTGTGTGTGGTGCGTGTTGTGTTGTGTGTGCGTGTGTTGTGTGTGCGTGCGTGCGTGCGTGTGTGTGGTGTTTATGTGTGTGCGCGTGTGTGTGCCTGTGTGTGTCGGGTGTGTGGTGTGTGCGATGTGTGTGTGGTGTGGGTGGTGTGGGTGGTTCGACGGGTGTGTGTGTGTGTGCGTGTGTTGTGCTGTGTGTTGTGTGGTGTTTGTGTGTGCGCGCGTGTGTTTTTGTGTGTGGTGTGTTGTGTGTGTGGTGTGTGTGTGCTGTGTGTGGCGTGTGTTGTGTGTGGTGTGGTTGGTTGAGTGGGTGGGTGGGTGGGTGGGTGGGTGGGTGTGTGTGAGTGCTGTGCGTTGTGTGTTGTGTGTTGTGTGTTGTGTGTTGGCGTGAGTGCACAACTTCAAAAAACTATCAGAAAAATCAACTTCTGAGGTGCGCGTGCACAACTTCGAAAAAACAAGCGCAAGGCAGCCGAACCGACCGCACCACGGACGCCCCTGTTTCGCCCCAGTTTGGGGACCCTGGGCCCTCCCGGAACGATGCAGCTCGGGAGATGCCACGGAAAGTTAGGGTCGAGTGCGGCGGTCGTGGCTTTCGCCTCGTCGGACCTCGGGCACATCCCGACCCCATCCCCGTCACCAGTTTCTCGGCGCGGGTGCTCTGAAAGCCCACCCGGCTCGAGAGGGGCCCCCGAACGAGACTCCCCGAGCAAATTTCTCGCGGCGCCCCGATGCAGCAGGGGAGGAGGAGGGACGGAAGGAGGAGGGTGGCGAGGCGCCGAGGAGGGCGGGGGCGGGAGAGAAGGAGGAAGGCTGAGGCAGCTGACGGGGAGGGAAGACAGCGAGAGGTGGCCGACACGAGAAACCCTGAGTCTAAGACAACGTTGGTCGTCGTCGTCGGCGTCATCGCCGTCGTCGTCGTGGTCGTCGTCGTCGTCGCGTCGTCGTAGTCGTCATCGTCGACGCCGATGCCGCCGCCGCCGCCGCCGCCGTCGTCATCGTGGTCGTCGTCGCCGCCGCTGCCGCCGTCAACGCCGCCGCCGCCGCGACCGCCGTCGCCGTCGTTGTCGTCGTCGTCGCCGCCGCCGCCGCCGTCGTCGTCGTCGTCACCGTCGCCAACGCCGCCGGAGCCGACGCCGCCCAGTCGTCGTCGTCGTCATCGTCGTCGTCGGCGTCATCGCCGTCGCCGTCGTCGTCACCGCCGCTCGCCGCCGCCGCCGCCATCGTCGTCGTCAACGTCGTCGGTGTCGTCGTTGTCGTCGACGTCGCCTCCGAGGTCGCCACCACCGTCGTCGCCGCCACCGCCGCGGCCGCCGTCGTCGTCGTCGTCGCCGCCGTCGCCGCCGCCGCCGTCATCGTCATCGTCGTCGCCGCCGCAATCATCGATGCCGCCGTCGCCCTCGTCGTCGCCAACGCCGTCGTCGCCGTCGTCGTAGCCGCCGCCGCCGTCATCGTCGTCGTCGCCGTCGTCGACGCCGCCGTCGTCGTTGCCGCCGTCGTCGCCGCCGCCGCCGACGTCGCCATCGTCGATGCCGTCGTCGCCAACGCCGCCGTCGCCGCCACCGCCGCCGTCGTCGTCGTCGTCGCGTCGTCGTCGTCGACGTCGTCGTCGTCGTCGCCGCCGCCGCGAGCCGCCGTCGTCGTCGTCGTCGCCGCCGCAGCCGCCATCGCCTGTTACCGCCGCCGCCGCCGCGGCCGCCACCATCGGCGTCGTCGTCGTCACCTGTTACCGCCGCCGCTGCCGCCGTCGTCGTCGTCGCCGTCGCCGCCGCCGTTGTCGTCGTCGTCGTCATCGTCGTCGGTGTCGTCGTTGTCGTCCTCGTCGTCGCGTCGTCGTCGTCGACGTCGTCGTCGTCATCGTCGTCGCCGCCGCCGCCGTCGTCGTCGTCGCCGCCGCAGCCGCCATCACCTGTTGCCGCCGCCGCCGCGGCCGCCACCATCGTCGTCGTCGTCGTCGTCGCCGTCGTCGTCGCCCGCCGTCGTCGCGTCGTCCACGTCGCCAACGCCGTCGTCGCCGTCGTCGTCGCCGCCACCGTCATCGCCGCTGTCGTCGTCGCCACCGTCGCCGCCGCCGTCGCCATCGTCGCCGTCGTCGTCGCCAAAGCCGTCGTCGCCGCCGCCGCCGTCGCCGTCGTCATCGTCGTCGGTGTCGTCGTCGGCGTCCGCGTAGTCGCGTCGTCGTAGTCGACGTCGTCGTCGACGTCATCGCCGCCGCCACCGCCAACGCCGTCGTCGTCGTCGTCGTCGTAGCCGCCGCAGCCGCCATCAACTGTTACCGCCGCCGCCGCCGCGGCCGCCACCATCGTCGTCGTCGTCGTCGCCGTCGCCGCCGCCGCCGTCGTCGTCGTCGTGGCCGCCGCCGTCGTCGTCGTCGTCATCGTCGTCGGTGTCGTCCTCGTCGTCGTCGTCGTCGCCGCCGCAGCCGCAGTCGCCTGTTGCCGCCGCCGCCGCCGCGGCCGCCACCATCGTCGTCGTCGCCGTCGTCGCCGTCGTCGCCGCCGTCACCGCCGTCGTCGTCGTTGTCGTCGTCATCGTCGTCGCCGCCGCCGTCGTCGTCGCCGCCGTCGCCGCCGTCGTCGTTATCGCCGCCACCGCCGCCGTTGTCGTCGCCACCGTCGCCGCCGCCGCCATCGTCGCCAACGCAGTCGTCTTCTTCGTCGTCGTCGTCGTCGTCGTCGCCGCCGCCGCCGTCGTCGTCGTCGTCGTCGTCAGTGTCGTTGTTGTCGTCGTAGTCGCATCCTCGTCGTCGACGTCGTCGTCGTCGTCGCCGCTGCCGTCGCCGCCGCCGCGGCCGCTGTGGTGGTCGTCGTCGTCAGAGTCGTCGTCGTCGACGTCCTCGCCGGCGTCGTCGCCGCCGTCGCCACCACGGCCGTCGTCGTCGTTGTCGTCGTCGTCATCGTCGTCGCCGCCGCCGCCGACGCCACCGCTGCCGTCGTCGTCGTCGTCATCGTCGTCGCCGCCGCCGCCGCCTCTTCGCCGTCGTCGTCGTCGTCGCCGCCGTCGCCGCCGCCGCCGTCGTCGTCGTCGTCGTCGTCGCCGCCGCCGTCGTCGCAGCCGCCGACGCCGCCGTGGCTGCCGCCGCCGTCGCCGCCGCCGCCGATCGTCGTCGCCGCACTCGTCGTCGCCGCCGCCATCGTCATCGTCGTCTTCGTCGCCGCCGCCGCCGTCGTCGTCGTCGTCGTCGTCGCCATCGTTTTCTCCGCCGCCGCCGACATCGTCGTCGTCGTTGTTGTCATCGCTGGTGTCGTCGTTGTCGTCTTCGTTGCCGCCGCCGTCGTCGTCGCCGCCGTCGCCGCCGCCGTCGTCGTCGTCGTCGCGTCGCATCGTGGTCGTCGGTGTCGGTCATCATCGTGGTCTCCGGTGTTGTTGTTATCGGTATCGTCGTCGTCGTCGCCGTCGCCGCCGCCGTCGCCGCCGTCGTCGTCGTCGACGTCGCCGCCATCGTCTTCGCCGCCGTCACCGCCGCGGCCGATGTCGTCGACGTCATCGTCGTCATCGTCGTCATCGTCGTCGTCGCCGCCTCGTCGTCGTCGAAATCATCGTCGTCGTCGTCGCCGCCGCAGCCGCCGCAGCCGCCGCAGCCGCCGCCGTCGCCGTCGTCTTCGTCATCACCGCCGCCGTCGTTGTCATTGCCGTCGTCATCGCCGCCGCCACCGCCACCGCCGTCGTCGTCGTCGTCGGTGTCGTCGTTGTCGTCGTTATCGTCGCAGCCGTCGTCGTAGCCGTCGCCGTCGTCGTCGTCGCCGCCGCCGTCGTCGTCGTCGTCGCCGTCGTCGTCGTTCTCGTCGCCGCCGCCGCCGCTGCCTTCATCGTCGTCGTCGTTGTCTGCATCGTCGCCGCCGTCGTCGCCGCCGTCGTGGCCCTCGCCGTCGCCGCCGTCGGTGTCGTCGATGTTGTCATCGTCGCCGCCATCGTCGCCGCAGTCGACGCCGCCGCCACCGCCGTCGTCGTCGTCGTCGGTGTCGTCATTGTCGTCGTTATCGTCGCAGCCGTCGTCGTAGCCGTCGCCGTCGTCGTCGTCGCCGCCGCCGCCGTCGTTGTCGTCGCCGCCGTCGCAGTCGTTGTCGTCGCCGCCGCCGCTGCCTTCGTCGTCGTCGTGGTTGTCTGCATCGTCGCCGCCGTCGTCGTCGCCGCCGTCGTGGCCCTCGTCGTCGCCGTCGTCGGTGTCGTCGTTGTTGTCATCCGCCATCGTCGCCGCAGTCGCCGCCGCCACCGTCGTCGTCATCGTCGTCGTGGCCGTCGTCGTCGTCTTCGTCGTCGCCGTCGCCGTCGGCGTCTGATTCATCCTCCTCCTCCTGCGGCTGGTCGCTTGGCGCGCGCGGCCGAACGCGCACGCACGACGACACGTCGCGCAGCACAGTGGCGCGCTGGGCCCAAAGGGGTGGCGGGTCACTCCGCCTTCGCCTTCTTGGAGGGCGGCTCCTCGGCGGCGGCCTCCCGGGAGAGTGGGGGCGGTTCGTGGAGGGTGGGGCGGGGAGTTGCTCCTGCTGCTCTCGGGTGGGAGGGGAGGAGGGGGAGGAGGACGGAGGGGGTATGGAGGGGAGGAAGCTAGAGACGAGGTGGGGGATAGGGGTGGAGGATGGACGGGAGGAGGACGGGGATGGAGGGGGGAGCATAGAGGGGAGGAGGGGAAAGAGAAGGAAGAGGAGGAGGAACGATGGAGGACGGATAATTTTTGCTTCGGTGCAGGACGGAGGATGGAGGGGAGGGAGGAATATCCACCTGAAGATGTAACAGGAGGAAGGAAGGATGGAGGGCAAAGGGATGGAGATGAGGAGGGTGAAGTTGAGGAGGAACGTTTGGGAACGGCTTGGCACGGCAAGCACAGAATGCAAGAGGGGAGGCGGGTGGAGGAGGAGGTAGGATTCGTTTGGGCTCAGCCTAGCGTTACAACACTTGCATGACGTCACTGCGCTAAGGCGGCGTGGAGGGGTTCCACGCACCTCTGGCTACCGAGACAAGGCTGCACGCGAGCGTCCTGGCCTGCGGAGGCCACTGTGGCAAAGCCCCCAGCAAGCGGCGGCTGCCGCTAGAAGTGAAGGGGGAAAGGCGAATGCTATAGAGGAAAGAAGGGGCGCGAGGCGATGAGGGACCATCGCCAAAGGCTGCGGGCGGCAGCCAACGCCGAGACGCGCACGCGCCAACACTCAGAGGCCACAGTGGGGCGATCCTCTGACAAAAGGCGGCTGGCTGGTGCGGTCGAGCCCTGTCCCGTCGTGCAGCGAGGGTGCGTCAAAAGGTGCCCGCGCGGGCAGCAGCAAGGGGGCCCCGCGGCCCTCGCGAGCTGAGGGAGGCGAGGATAACGAGTGGAAATGATAGCATGTCAGAAGGGAAGAGTTATCCAGTCGGAGGAGGAGGAGGAGGAGGAGGAGGAGGAGGGAGGAGGAGGAGGGAGGAGGAGGAGGGAGGAGGGAGGGGGAGGAGGAGGAGGAGGAGGAAGAGGGAGGAGGGAAGAGGTATCCAGTCGGAGGAGGAGGAGGAGGAGGAGGAGGAGGAGGAGGAGGAGGAGGAGGGAGGAGGGAGGAGGGAGGAGGGAGGAGAGAGGGAGGAGGGAGGGGGGAGGAGGGAAGAGGAGGGAAGAGGAGGGAGGAGGGTCTGGGAATGTGCGGCCTGGTGCCGCGTGGCCGAGTCTGCGCAGCATGGCAAGAGGCATGGCGCACGGGACGCCAGGAGAGGCGGGACCGCGTAGCTGCCACGTCGAAGTGGGACAGGGCGACCTCCCAGAGACCTCCGCATGGGGGCGTGAGAGATCGCGAGAGAATGCAAAACTAGGAGAGGAAAGAGGAGAATGAGCAAGGGCCATCTTGCCAAAAAGTAATGCGTGGGACGACGCCCTGAAGATGAGACAACCGAGCGCGTCGACCTTGACATCGGGGGGAGGAGGCCAGAGGGAGGAGCGACGCACAGGCAAGGATGCAGGACTCCAGTCGCAACGCAACTGGGCATGCGCCATGTGCCTCTGGAATGAAAGGCGAATGCGGAGCCACCAGACTTTGCGCGTCTCTAAAGAGAAGCCCGCGAACGCGTCACATCCCAACCGCCGGCACCTACCCCCCCCTCCCAGATACCAGATGCCCATAGGCAAAAAAGAAGGCGCTCTGCGTGCCTCAGAACCGTCAAATTAGAAATGCCGCGCGCTAGCCCCCCAGATTATCTTCGCGAGATGTTCGGCTTCGAACTTGATTCGAGATGAGGAGGAGGCGGGCAAGAAGCGAGGCCTCCATCAGAGAGAGGAGGCACGGGGGTGGGCATGCCTGCCTGGCCCGCCACTTGGCCAAGGGAATGCGCACCTGAGCCCCTCCACCCGCCCCATGTCGAAAACTCCGCCATCACCCCCTGCTTGCGATCTGCCTCACTCGCTGCAGGATGTGGCTCGGAGAGAGAAATCCTTCGCCCCGGGGCTCGGGGCACCTGAAATCTGCTCTGGCCCAGGCTCGGCCTCCCGCCCCTCCGCCCGCTGTCTTCCGAGGCGTGGAAGAACCCGCCGCGGCCGATGGCGGGGCGTCGCGGCCAGGAGCGCGGCTCCCTTCCCGGGCCCAGGTCTCGCTGCCCGGAGAGGCCGAGGTCCGGGTCGACAAAACGGCCCGAGCCGCCAGCCAGGCCCCCAAGCGGCGACGGAGCTGGTCGGAAGCCGCTCTGCGCAAGCGCGCGCGGCGCGGTGAGAGCGCCCGCCGCCCTGCACGGGGCGCTCCGCCTCGGGAGCCGCCCGTCGGAAAGGGGCCCGGGGAGAGACTGCGCACGGATCGGAGGAGCTCGCGGCAGGCGGATCTGCCGACGCCAGAGGGCCCGCAGCTTCTCCGCGACCTCTGCTCGGACAGAGATGGCTATGACACGTCGGGGTGATGGAAGGGAAAGAGAAACGAGAGGGAGGGGAGGGATAAGGCGACGCGCCTTGCGCGCCTGTCTGCTGGGCTGCTAGGAAGCATGGCGGACAACCCGCCCATCCCAAAGCCTCCATCTACTCTGACACCGAGGAGGAGCGCATGTCGCTGAGGACGGGGAGGAAGGTGAGACTTGGAATCGAAGGAAGGGCAGGAGGCCGCGAGGCGCGCGCCACCAATACCCACCGTGGGGCGCCCCAAAAATACGAGGATGACCGAGCGGGAGGGCAGGCAAGTTTGGCCTTTAACGGGCCTCACAACGGCTGCGATAAAACTTGCGGGCCAAATGCAATGTTGAGCGGGAGATGCGGAGGAGCAACTGGAAACGCGCTGCCATTTGGAGGTCGAGGGGGCCTCGGTCTGGTGCGCCTCGTCGGCGATCCGCGGCTGGATGGAGAAACGCCCCTCGCCCGTGGCCCTCAGAACACACTGCGGCCCAATGATTGGGACGCACAGAGACATACTGATACTATATGTCCTCCTTGGAGGCGCGCGTCCGACCCGAACATATGGTATAACCATCTTGTAGTATATCGTTTCGCGAGCGGTGCGGCCAGAAAGCGCCCGCCACGACGCATATCCTATAAGATTTCTCGGTGCGCGCGTCGCCCCTGGGGGGGGCGACGCACACATGGTATAAGTATGTTGGGGTGACGCCGAATGATGGCCGCGGCACTTTCCATGTGGTAGCGAAACGGGCAGAGACGGAACTCTCCTCCTTAAGAGGTCGCGCTGGACTTACAGAGCGTGCGAACTGCAGCCTTCTTGCGGTGCTGTCCGCGCGAGCAGGCCCGACAATCTCATCGGCTGGATCTGGCTCTGCCGACGCCTCGACCAAGAGCGGATACGCATCCCTTTTCTCCGTGGGAGCCACGGGCAGAGCCTCTCCCCCGTCGGAGCAATGGAGGGCGAAGGCGAGACGTCCCTGGGGAGGTGCTGGAGGCGATCGCGATCCCACGGCAAAGCATCGCCTCGGATCCTTGGACGCGTGTCCCATGTCATGGCCAGGCGCCTCATTCCAACAGGGGTGCTCCTTTTAACGCGTCGAGCCCACGCGGCTGGTGAGGGAGACACGGAGGTGGAGGGCGACAAGGCATGCTCTGGGTTTCTTCATATGCGTGGGGGGGTACCCCTCCGACGGGGGTCAACCTCGCCTCCTCGTCGCGCCGCGACGGGGGTCGGAGCGCCTGTGGCGCGCAGTGGCTGCCCGCGGCGGGGGTCGATGTGGGGCTGTCGGCGAGGGTGACGCCCCCCCGACGCTGATCAAGAAACTCGGAGTAGAGTTAGGTCGGGCATGTCTCCCTACAGGCGGATGTTGGACGAAAAATAAAAATATACCCTCAAAATACCCCCAGAGAGTCGAAAATGGTCAGAAAGTCGTCCCCCGGCTATTTTTGGATTACTTTTGAATATTCCCCTGCAGTACGCGGCTCAGCAGGAGATCCCCCCCCTTCACGATTCTGTTTGCATCCCTGGGAGTCTGACGCCGATCACGGACGCCCTCGTGAGAAGGGTGGGGGCGCCACGGCTGGAGTGGGCGAAATTCCTGGGACCACATGCGCACCGGGCATGCGGGGAAGGAGACATATTGCAAGATATTGTTCAGGATCCCCCCGTTTGGAGACATAGACTGAGAGATATGTGCAGGTAGTGTATGAGTGTGCGCTTGCCGACGCGCCATGGGCGTAGGGCTTCTGTCTGTCTGTCTGTCTGTCTGTCTGTCTGTCTGTCTGTCTGTCTGTCTGTCTGTCTGTCTGTCTGTCTGAACATTCCCCCTGTAGAGGGACAGGCCCGATTTAAGACTAGAGGGCGCATCAAAAGGGAGGCCCCCCGTGCCAGGCCCCGGGGGGTCGCCCTGGGCGCGCCGCGCCCACGGAGCGCGCCGCCCCCCATCAGGCTGGCGGGGAAGGGCCCCCCCCTTCCCCCCAGAAACAACAGGGGGAATCACAAAACACACACACACTTTTTTTTTTAAAAACTGACAGAGACTGACCGCAAGCGAACCAGCCTTCGTTTGAAAAAACAGCTAGCCAGCGCAGGGGACGCATTCGACCCGACCCCACGCACCTTGGGATGGGTCGCCGTCGTCCTCCTCTACGCTGGCAATGGGAAAGCCAGAGAGGCCGTCCCACAAGGCCAGATCGGCCTGGAAAGCGGGCGGCGGAGAGCACTCCTGCCCCGTCCACCCCACCCCCACCCCCCCACTCCCAGTCCCGACAGGAGGAGAAAGAGCAGGCAGAGGCGGCAGTTCGGCCGACTCCAGCAGCCTTCGCTTCCGCAGCAAAATCGGAGGGCCCACAAAATCGCGGGCCCGTAAAGGATGGCAGCCTCGCATGAGGTTGCGCAGCCTGTAGTATCTCGAGTCTCTCACCAGGACACCCTGCCTACGATTCATCGGTAAGCAATCCTGCGAAAGACCCTGGCTCTTCTTTTCCGAAAATGCCCCGCACAGAGAGCAGAACAGGAAAGGCCCCGCGCGGTGAAGTGCGTGGGAGCTGGACCTGTCGTCACATCGAAGCTGGCGAAGCACCGAGCGTGTCCTCGCTGACCGAAGGCACACCATGCATCGGAACCTGTGCGCAACCACCGTCACTGCAGGGTCGAAACGCGAGTGCGGCTTCGGGGGACCAAGTCCCCCCTCAATCGTGCCTATGGCACGGCCGAGTATTTGCGCTTGGGCGTCACGTGGCGTGATGGTGCCGATCCGAGCGACCAGCCTGGTACAGAACTGGGCTACAAGGCGGATGGCGCTGCGCGACGCGCCATGCGCAGATCGCAGCTGGAGGGAATCACTATGCATGGCGGCACCCCATTTAGCCGACTGATCAGCCTGGGCATTGCCGACACGCTGCCATTCTGAAATCCGTCCCTCTGCTACGGCAGAGGCAGGAGTATGCGCTTTGACGTGAGAAACCTCCACCGACTCACCCCCACGGTCAGACACAAGCCTCCAAACCTCCCTCCAAAGTAAGGCAAGCGGGTCACTCGCAGCGGTGCCCGCTCCAACGCCTTGGCGCCAGACATCCACGAGCGGCTTGCAATCCGTATAAAACTTCATCTGAGCTCCCATATACCTCAGCGCCATCAAGAAACTGAAAAGCTCAGCCGCTGGCACAGATTGAATGAGACAGGGCAGAGGGCCATGCAGGCGAGCAACCACTCGCTTGCTGTCGTCAAGCGAACAGAGTCCCCATCCGCAGCGCCGTAAGCGAGAGAAACTTCCGTGCCTCCCCGACCCATCACCGAACACGTGCACGTCGAGCAGCAAGTCGGGAGACCGCACCGTCCACACGACTCGCTCCTCGAGGCAGGGGCTCGGGAAGAGCCAAGCAGGGTCAAGAACAAGAAAGCGCGTGAAAAGCAAGGTATCCACCGCAGCAGCTCGGGCCATGTCTAGCATTTGACCAGCCATGGCACTGCCAGCTCTGTAATCCCGACGGAACTCGGTATGCAGGGGGCAATCGTAGAATCGGTGCCAGGTAGATCCAGCACTCTGACAGGCAAGGCAGCTCGGGTTGACGGCTCCACCTGACTCGTACAGTCGCTCCTGCGACCAGAAACCTCCTGCAAACAGGCACCGCAGCAGTCCCTGATGCCTTGGGGTCCAGTCAGGGCCTCGGACAGAATGAGGCTGGAGGAGGGACCTCAGGGGCTCCACGAGAGGAGGATGAGGGCAGGGCGAGACCCACGAGGGATGCTTCGCGAGAACCTGGCGCCACACCCACCGCTCGGTGGCCTCATCAACTAACTTACCTCCATCCTTCGGGGAAATCTGTTCAATTGCAAGAGGACCTCGGTGGGTCTTCCAATGAAAAGGGTCAGATACAGACCAACCCAACCGCAAAAT